CGGTAGGACTGATTAGTGCACCTTTGTGGACTTACTGGCTTGTCGCACGCAACGACACGGCCAAGCGGCGCCCTCATCTGCTCGTCTGCGTCCTCCCACCGAGAAAGTGACCCCTTCTCCCAGTAGGCTTAACTGTGCAGGAAGGTAAATCTCAGACGACTGGACCTCAGAGCGATTCCGCCGACCGCTTGGATTGCGCGATCGGATTTCACGAGCGAATGGATCGACCATGATCGGGGCACTACACCAACGCGGCGCTACACCAAATTAGTGAATTTATTGTGGCCGCATGTTCCAAGCGGATCGCGAAGTATAAACGCGCTCTTAGCTATGATTTCGTTGAACGTACCAACTGTTTTCAGCTTATTAAATTACTCGAGGAACTGCCAAGCATTAAAGAAGCTCACTCGAAGGATCTCAACGAATTAACTCGTTGTACTCGTGACTACCACCTTGCAATGGCAGCCATTTTCAAATAATCATTACACTCGTTTATCAATAAAAATCGGTTTAAATACCGTCAAACAATCACAAATAAAACAGCAGAATGCCTTGGAGCAATCTGTTGAAGGCATCCATTAATAGCGACGAAATGGTGGACAGTGAGGATCATACAGCGAGTAAAAATAATAAATAGGTGCGATTCGGCTTAGTGGGGGCAGCGAATGGTACTAAGAGAGACCACTATGATCCTGTAACCCAATGTAACTTATACCATTTCGGAGCTTTACGCGATTTTGTAAGTCTCACCAAAGTGTCGAGTACCTGTTAGTTAATATGAATGGCAAAAGGACTAGCGAAAGTGAAACTGCCCCGTGAAACTGCCCCTCCCAAGCCAAACGACGTCAAAATTTCTCCATAGAAAACCGCTTTCGTCATAAATCGGCTAGATCTGTTTGACCAAAGTATTCGCTGACAACAGCAATAAACCACGACAATTCGCGAATTTCATCTTTCCTGAAAGCGATAAATAAAATTGGAAGGTGTTTATTGTGCGAAAAGTCTAGAGATACCTTTCAATATCAACAGAACTCCTTAGATTTCTGCACAGCTTCGCCAAATCTCGAATAGCAGCACAGACGTCCGGCAACAACGGTTTTTGAACAATGAGTAGGAAGGCGAAAATCCATTCTCGTAGTGCTCGCGTGAACTCTCCACATTCGGCCCACTCAACCGCGTAAGGCAGGATTGCGTTAACCTGAAATAGTCCTGTAAAATGAGTGTTGTGTGCCTTTATCAGTGAACTTGTTACTACTCTCTTATATAAGATTTGAATCTCTTCTCACTCACCGTAGCTTGTGAAATGCTTAAAACAACGGGGACTGCTGGTGGAGTTCCTTGATGATGCGGGAAAGCCGGTGAGAAATGAACGCATTTTGGGTGACAGTGTCGCAGCAAGAGCTCCTCCCATTGGTCCGCATCCTCAAAAACAGATTGGATACTTTTCGACAGTACAAAGAATGAGAAATAGGAAAGACACGTATAAGGAAACAGACGTGCAAAACATTGTGAGCAGCCCTATTGTGAATCGCGAAGCGTAATCCTGGGTTCAATTGAACGCGCGACCAAACACTCAAGCTGTAATTGTCAGCTAGCGCCATTCAAAACACAGGGTCGCGCTCGTACTTTGCAACTCTGGCGATTCGGTGGCATGATTTGGAAAACAAGCAACTGCGACTGAATCGCGCTCCACAACTAATCACTCGACCGCTGCGATGGTCAAAAGTTGTGTTCCGTATGCATTTGATTTTGCATTTGCACCGATCATCTGTAGAGCGCGGTGGGTCGCAGACGCGCGAGTGAATCGCTCTAGACGAGAAGTATGAACGCGGCCTCATGCGACCCAAAAAAATATTTGCTGAAGCGAAAAACTAACCGGATGTGGCCAGTGTATACGTAGTGCGGATTTTCGTGGCGCCGATTCCATACGGGAGCGCATTAGGGAAAATTCAGCTACTTTGGCTTTACGCCACTCTGGTTTTGGAGCACGCGGATCGCGTTCAGCTGGAGCTGCAGCACTGCATTCCGCATCGGAAGCCGTCTTCGAAACTTCCGGACGTGCCACTGCAACGCATGACGGTCCCCGAATACGATCAGCAATCACCTGAAAGAGAGTGGTACGCGCTCAAAATAGATCTAAGAGCGATCTGGCTCAATTTCAGTGCATCACATGGTACAGACCAGGTAGACCTCCCAAGGTTATATCAGCCAAAAACTAGTACAAATGGATCAAGAAGAAGGAAGGGAGCAAAAAGGAAAGGCTAATTTTTTTTCTCATTCAACACCAAACTTGTTAATGCGCGCGGAGTTTCGGGAGAGAATAGAACGAGGTGCCACTGTAGGGGACAGGACAAAGCGGCAATCCAACAAAACTCATTCCTTAACGCTCTGAAACGGGGCAGCGCTCCAGCTTCAGTCATTCCCGCTGTTATAAGCCCAAGCCCAGAGAGCAACCATGTCCTCACGGCGCCGCGTGGCCCCAATCAACTGTAGTGGCGTCCACAACTAGACTCAAGACTGCAAAAAACTGGTGTAAAACTAAGTCATCGACATAAGCATAAATCATCCTAGAAACCTTGGACATCAGTGGACGTTGCACTAGAGAAGAAAGAGCAATGTTGCGGCTGCCTTCGAGAAAAAATGTTTCCGGTTGCAGAACTTTCCCAGTTTTTCCTGTTTCAAGTCTGAACGGAGTTTTTTTTGAACAGTGAAGGGTTGTCGGGAAAAGGGAAAACAAACTTCGGAAAGGTGGTACTAAGTTGGGAACATTGCTGAAAATAGTAAGGTGGAATGAAGGATAGGAAGGAGGGGTCGTAAAGGGGGAGGAAATCCGGAAGGATCGTATTTCGCGAGGGTTTCCCTCAGCAGGTAGTGACCCAGTTGGGCACATCCATATTATGGTACGCAGATAACGAAAGTCTCTTTTACAGAAAGGAGTTGTTTTTTGTTCATCTATCGCAGTCTTGGGCAAAAGCACCCACATAGCTGGGTCACAATGTCAGAGTTTAAGTGTCGTGGGCGTTCTGCACCAAAACGCCCTGGGGGAGGGTGGGGGGGGGGGGGGGGGGGGGAGAAGGCGGGGTGTTGGGAGCACTCCCAGAGCTTCCGTATCTTTTCCCTATTCAAGGTGTAGTGTGGAGCCAAGTCTTCTCTGCCCTCGCCGACTCTGTTCGCCTGCACTCTGATCCAAAGCCTTCTTGGAGGAGGCAAACAGAGGCTCGGGCGAGAACTTCCCCAACTACGTTAGCGCCAAGTAAACTACCCACGGACCTGCTGCAGATAATGTTCAGCGGATTGTGGCGCACAATCCATATCGACGGCATCGATATCAAACTCTCCGATATCGACGAATTGGCCACGATCCATGCAGACCCCTCCGAACTCCTCGTTGTTCTGTAACTTCAAAAAATGGAATTTTTGCAATACTACTCCACACTAGTACAAATAAACGCATAGCTGCGCTGCTTCGCTAACGCATTCAGTCGTGAAAAACAGCATTTGAGAGAAAATGCTTTATGGCAGTACGGACAACACACACAAGCCGAACATCACAATGAGGTGAACACAGGAATACTATGCTTCTAATGAAATTATGGTCTCCCGATCATGAAACAACCGTCTAAGTAAGAACTCGTGGATGATCACATGCTGAATGCTACAACTGTAAAAGCTCAAAGCTCTTCATGGCTGTAATTTGTGCCCGCAGCTGTTCTACCAGCAATCCTCCCAAATACCACGCATTCGAGTAATGAATTTCCTGCCAGTCGATTGGCACCATGGACGCCTCCTGAAAGAATTCAACGAGTTGAAAACTTCCAATAATGAGTAAATTACAAGATACATTTCCCTTTTTCGGCACCATTCCTCAGAATGAATGGTTTGAAAAAACTCTGACAGCTGAACATTGAATCTTTTTGGCATAAGTGCAGATTGGCGAGAGGATGGGGCATGTGCCGTTGCGGTCGTCTATACTCTTCTGAGGCTGATCTCGTTGAAAGATCGAATCACACTTTTTGCAAGAGCAAAGATTGGCAGATCTGGTCGCACCACTCTCAGCTCGCACTCAAGCAGCCCTCAAGGTGTGGAGAGTTACTTACAAGTCGCGGCATCGCGCGCACCAGCACAGTATTTCCTAGCCAGTTGTCTAGACAGACCCAGGCTTAGAGAGATTAGTCGACTCTAGAGGCGCGGGTGCAGAAAGAGTCGAGAGAATCGACGCATCGAAGCACTGCTATGTTGGGTTCATTGGCCTTGGTGCAAAACGCTGCCTAGCTGCAGCGACTATTTCGCCGCGACGGAAGTGAAGATGTTACCCCCCCCCTCCCACCAACATGCTAGGCACAATACTTGAAGAATCATCCCACAATACCCTGTGTAGAGCAATCCGTCCTGAGAACAATGGAGAATAGTCCACAATCTCGGACGGATTA